TCCACCCATGTTGAGGATATGAATTGATACAATCAGTTTAGAAAACTAGTTGACAGTATTCACCACAGCTGAACATATGTGAACCCCATGATGTAGAAATTCCAATACTAAGTATATAACCAAGGAAATCATATACATATGCTCTTCACAGTAAATTGGCTATCACAAAAAAACTACAAACAATAAAACGTCGATCAATTGTGGAATGAATAAATATATTGTCATATATACATATAAAGAATACTATCCCATAATTAATTAACTATAGCCTTATATAACCTCATTTATATCATAGGCGTAATATTGAGTGACAAAGTGACACAAAGAATATATACCATATTGTTCTACTTATGTGAAGTTCAAAAGGAGCTAAACTAATCTATGGTATTAGAATTCGGGATTGCTTGTTACCCCAGCAGAGAAATAGGGCATGCCTGCAAAGGAAGAAGGTAGTTTCTGGGGTTCTGATAGGTAATGTTCTGTTTATTGATCTGACTGCTGGTTATAGTGTGAATTCACATTATGAAAATTCATAAGATACTTCTCTGTATAGATGTATTAAAATGTATGTATTATGTAAATATATATTATGTATTTCTTATTTTTCTATGTATATATGTGTGGGTACATACATTGTTAAAGGAAAAATTTAACAAATTGAGATTTAAAGATCTGGCTTTATTAGCAATTCATTAACCAGGTCTCATACAGTCTACAAAACAGGAGCTCCACTGAGCATGATAGAGCTCTTAGTTTTGTAAGTCAGGTTGAGCAGGAACAAAGAAACAGCAAAATACATAAATCAGGTTAGTTGGCATCAGGTTACTTCAGGTTACTTTCCTTGTATTGATTAAAGCAGAGGGCACTTCTTTATCATGCTGGTTTAAGTGGACTAGGCCCCTTTTGATTGAATTCTGTGAATCCCCTGTTTTTATTTTTGAAAACTGTTCTATTTGGGGCTGTCATGTCTCCCAATTTCTCAGAATATCAGATCTTGCAAATAAACAACTGTTTATTAGGTTTCAGTTTGCTGACATGGAACATTAGCATGTGTGGCTCCATTTTGGGTTGGTGTGTCAATGCCTAGTACAAGAGCTTAATCCAAATTAATGTCCTTCCATAATTTTTACTAAAAAAAATGCATACATACACTTACACACACCTTTTTATGTATTACATCCAAAATGTAAGCGCTTCTGACTTCCTCTTTTGCCCCAGTTCCACTCTTCTGTGCCTGCAGTCTTACCTCACCCCAAATGATAATTTTTTTGCATTTAAAAAAAATTTTATTTATTCTTTTTAGATATGCATGACAATACAGTGCATTTTGACATATTATAAATACATTCTAATTAGGATCCCATTGTTGTGGTTGTTTATAATGTGGAGTTTCACCAGTGGTGTATTTATTTTACCGTCTTACCTGTTCCTAATGATAACTTTTAAAACAGAAGCAGATTCATATATGTCCTTGGCTGGAAAAGCAGTAGTAGCAGCTTCCAAAACCAAACAGAATAAAATACTTTGAGGAGTATATATTCTTTGTGTTACTTTGTCACTCAATATTATGCTAATGATATAAATGAGGTTTTATAAAGCTATAGTTAATTAATTATGGGATAGTATTCTTTGTATGTATATATGACAATATATTTATTCATTCCACAATTGATAGACATTTTATTGTTCGTAGTTTTTGGTGATAACCAATTTACTGTACTGACCTAAAAGTCAATACAAAATAGCCTCACCACCCACACTTGTTACATCCTTTACCATGCTTTATTTTTATGTATAGCTTTTGTCACCAACTGATACATCATTTACTTGGATTTGGATTTGTAATTTCCTTCTCTAATATTTAAACTGAATGAGAGCAGGAACTTTATCTTTCTGCTCTTCATCTTGAACAGTACTGTCATAAAGTAGATAATGATGGATGGATGGATAGGCGAGTTTGTCACCAAAATATAGGACTTAGGCAGAATTATCATTAGCCTTCTTTTATAGGCTAGGAAACTTAGAAAATAAAATTACAGTAGTAAACAAAAAAAAATGAAATTACTTATTTAATGTTTCTCAGTAATGCAGACAAGGTCTCTGTTTCTCTCCCTCCCCCTCTGCTTTTGCCTCCCCTAAACCCACACATGCACACATATGCCCATATAGATGAATATACAAGGAAAATGAAATAAGAACAGTTCTCCTAATTAATGGAACTATGAAAATAAACTACTCTATTCATTACAATTTTCAGCCATTTTACTCTCATCATAGTAGTAAAATATATTTTATAATGCATGGTGTGTGTATGTGTGTGTGAGTGTGAGAGAGAGAGAGAGAGAGATCTATACATGTATATTTATTTAATACATTTGTATAGATAGATCTCATAATATGTGTATTTATATATAAGAAATATCTCACACACATATCTTTCTATTATATATATTTCTATGTATAATAGAAAATTACAGATATTACATAATATATATAGACTATATAGACTGTAATGAGGCTAATGTCAGAAGATCATTTGTTCATCAAGTAAAGCTTTCAATAAGGCAGAAAATGATGGCTGAAGGAAACAATGACTTTTACATCTCAGTGCAAAATAACCATTCATATTCAGAGGAAAAGGCAATGTCAGAGTTTCTTGTGAAACTGAGATCAGCAGGGCAAAGACTGGTCATGTCCATGACTCCAAAATGGGAACTCTGGCTTCATCTTGGTCCCTGTGTGTGGTGGCTGTGCATCCCATGGCAAGTTACTAACCTCTCCAAGTGTACCTTCCTGGAGCTTTAAAGTGAAAATTATAAGCACCTATCCTGGCAGGGATTTGGTAAAAATCAAATGAGATCAGAATGAATATCAATGGTCAGCCTCGTTCAAATGCAGGAAGGACACCTGGAGGCTAATCAGCAGAAATATTAATGAGTACTACCAAGGCCTATTTCAAATGTAAAAGGCCATGAGGCTCACCTGTGGGAACACCTCCGGCCAACTCCTTTGTCCCAGAGGTGGGAAAACAAGAAGGTGGGGGG